GTTCATTCTTGTATGTGCCTGACCAGGGATTGAACCCACAACCTTGGTATATTGGGACAACACTCTAACCAACTGAGCCACCTACCTGGCCAGGGCCCTCTTAAATATCTCTTGAATCTGGTTCTACTCCATCCCATTGCTACCACTCTAGTTCAAATCCTGATCAGGTCTCACCTGAACTGCTGCAAAGATCTTCTAACCAGCCTTTCTGCTTCCCCGGTCTTCTCCCTTCACTCCATTCTCCACATCACAGCCAGAGTGGCCTTTCTAAAATTTAGATATAATCATGTTAATCCCATGCCTCAAAAGGTGACGTCCAAACCCCATAGCACACCATTCAAAGCTCTTTCTAGCTTCATCACTTACCCATTTCGTATTGCCCACCGTTCCTGAAGTTCTTTTAGAGTACTCACTGACAAGAACTTTTTTCTGCCAGAAGCATGAAACAGACTGTAGAATCTCAGGGAAGGCAGGGGCGGCTGGGTGGGTGGGAAGAGATCAACCAGAGAACTTGTATGTATATATGCATAACTCATGGACACAGACAATAGAGGGGTGAAGGCCTGGGGTTGGGGGGTGAGGGCAGGCTAGAAGGAGTCAATGGGAGAAAAAAGGGGACATAGGTAATTCTTTCAACAATAAAGATTTTTAAAAAATACCTCTCCTTCACTTCTCTGCTTGGAAAATTTTTTACCTGCTTGAAAAATTCTTTAGAAAAGTCCCTGTTGTCCTCCTTCTATTGACAAATAAGTATCTCCAGGCAATGCTTTTGGGCTCAGTACAGATTCACCTGTGGGAGTCATTATGCTGTCTATCACATTTCCAGTTCCCCTCCTGGGCATATTATAGGATTGCACTTTCTTGGCTGCTGGCATGTGACTTGCTTCGGCCAGTGAAATGGGAAAAGTGCAAGTTTTAAAAGCCAACACGTGAGCCATATACTTTCTTTTCCTCTGGTAGCTGCTCTGTCAGTCTTTATCCTTGAATAAGGATGACAAAAAGCAGAGCACCCAGCCAAACCTGAGTGGATATGTAACAACAGTGAAAAAGAAAAGCTTGTTGTTTAAGCTGCTGAGGTTTGTGCTTGCTTGTTACCGAATAACCCAATCTGTCTTAACTGAACACTATCTCTGTTGACAAGCCTTCCATAACCACCGAAAACCACCACAAGTCCACCTTGACTAATTTGCCTCATACATTTTCTTTTTTTAAAATTTATTTATTAACGTATTACATATGTGTCCTTCGTATCTGCTATACAACCAACTGAGCTACCTACCTGGCCAGGGCCCTCTTAAATACCTCTTGAATCTGGTTCTACTCCATCGCCATTGCTACCACTCTAGTTCAAATCCTGACCAGGTCTCAGCTGAACCACTTCAAAGTTCTTCTAACCAGCCTTTCTGCTTCTACTTCTTCTCCCTCTAGTCCATTCTCTACATCACAGAGTGCCACACAGTACTAATTACCAGTTTGATTTGGTCTTTGTAACCTCTACACTTTTACTGAGGCTTCCTGAGGGCAGGGATGGAGCTTATTCCATTTTTTAAAATATATTTTTATTGATTTCAGAGAGGAAGGAAGAGGGAGATAGAGATAGAAACTTCAATGATGAGAGAGAATCATTGATCGGCTGTCTCCTGCATGCCCTCTACTAGGGATCGAGCTCACAGCCAGGACTGGGAATCAAACTGTGATCTCCTGGTTCATAGGTCAATGCTCAACCACTCAGCCACACCTGCTGGGTGCTTATTCCATTTTTATGTCACACGAAGTATAGTTCATGGCCAAAGCAGTATACTGTATTATGTGTAGGAGTGTGGCAACCCTAATCAGTCAGCTTATGCTGGATGTTCAAGGCCACTCTGAGCGTGGGAATACTAATCAGGGTGTTCAAGGCTAATGTACCATACACAGGTGCAAAAGCAAGAATGCAGACACTGCACAGGCATGCCCTTCTATAACCCAAATAGTGAGGTCACTATTTGGCAAGAAGCCTCTCTTGTCTAAGTTAGTATAAAGTACTGTATGTTAAGAACCAGCCAGTGTGGCTGGCTCCTGTATAGCTCCTATTCTGGGGGTTGCGTTGTGGGGAAGACGTGTTACAGACCAGTAGGTGCTGACTGTTTTCCTAGGATGGCTCCTGTGTTTGCTACTGCATTAGCAAGAATTGCTTTATCTAATGGCTCCGTAGTAGCAATGGCTACTTGGACTGCAATAAAGCCTCTCTTACATACCCACGACTTCTCATGTCTTCTCTGTCTTCTCATGCCCCACATCCAAGGAGGTCCAGTCCCTGGCAGAGGGACTTGGACCCAACAGTTGGCATAGTGGAGTAGGATTCAACGAGTGAGTACTCCAACAAGGAGTCAGACAGATTTGTTTTGAATCCCAATTCTGACATTTAGTGGGCAAATCGCTCTGGAAAATGGAGTAATAATACAGGGTTTTTCTAAAATGTGTAGATAACAGGTGTAACATCTGTACAAATAATGGCATGCTATAATTATGATTGTTCCCATTATTATTATAGATGGTGTTCAGGAAGTGCTTGTGAGTGAATCTTTCATTGATTGAGGGGTAGTGGAATGTGCATTGGATTTGGAATCGTAAATCCTGGATTTAAGGCATAGCTTTTGTCACCAGTTTGCTTTTTTTATATTCTCAGCTATACTATGGAAATACTAATAACACCTACCTCACAAGGGTTTGATAAAATTTAAATGAGCCAATATGGAGGAAATGTTTTATTCATGCCCTAGCATCACACATTCTAAAACTGTAAGGAAACAGAAGATTGGCTGGCCCCTCACGTGCACCGGGTGGACATTTGTGAAGCAATCTATTGTGCTCCAGTGACATTTCCAACTGGACTGTGAGATGCTTGAGATAAATAATTGTCTTAGTAATTGTTTTTAGTAAAAATGTGTATTTCTCCTTATATAAGAATAGTACATGCTTATTGTAACAATAAAATTACATGAAGAAAAATAAAGTTCTAGTAATTCTTGTCTCTGTACATTCATTTTTGATGTATTTCTTTCCAGTTTTCTTCTCTGCAGATATACTTACAAAACGGATATCATATCACACGCATTGTCCCAGGTCATTAAATTGTCTTACAAAAATAAACATATATAAAAATCTTATAGTTGAACCATTCTCCTATTGTTGAATATATAGTTTGATGATACTTTTTCACTGTCTAAATAAAGTGGTAAAAAACATTTTTGTGATTAGGTATTTGATTTTCCAATTTTGTAGGAAAAGTTTTTAGGAGAAGAAATTCTGGGTCAAAGAGTACAGATATTTTTAATGCTCTTGAGACTTTCAAGGTGATTTCCAAAAAGATTGAACCAAGTTCCACTCCCATGAGCAGGTGTGAGGTTGAAACTTCTCACTATATCCTCATCTATAATGGGAATTATAATTAAAAATAAGGTAAAAATCATTTTTAACACTTTTTAAAAATTTAAATTCTTTATTGTTTAAAGAATTACATAAGTCTTCTTATCCCCCCATTGACCTCTCCCTGACCGCTCCCACCACCAGCACAAGCCCTCACCCCACTACTGTCATGTCCATTGGTTATGCTCATATGCATGCATACAAGTCCTTTTGTTGATTTCTTGCCCGCCCAACAACCCTTCCTTCCCTCTTAGGTTGGATGGTCTGTTCAATGCTTCTGGCTCTATTTTTTTTTTTGAGGTTTGCCCCTTTTGTACATCTTTTAAAAAATTTTTTTTATTGATTACGGTATTACAAATGTGTCTGTATCCCCCCATTGTCCCCTCATCCCCCTACTCTTGCCCTCAACCTCACCCCCTATTGTCTGTGTCCATCACTTACGCTTATATGCGGTTTGAGCATCTGATCGATGCTTCTTTGTCTCTAGATCTGTTTTTGTTCATCAGTTTATGTTGTTCATTATAATCCACAAATGAGTGAGATCATGTGATATTTACCTTTCTCTGACTGGCTTATTTCGCTTAGCATAATGCTCTCTAGGTCCATTCATGCTGTTGCAAATGGTAGGAGTTCTTTCTTTTTAACAGCAGAATAGTATTCCATTGCATAGGTGTACTGCAGTTTTTTAACCCACTCATCTGCTGATGGGCACTTAGGCTGTTTCCAAATGTTAGCTATTGTAAATTGCACTGGTATGAACATAGAGGTGGTGTCTATTTAGGTCCTTTGCCCATTTTTTGATTGGATTGTTTATCTTCCTTTTGTTAAGTTGTATGAGTTCCCTGTAAGTGTTGGAGATTAAACCCTTATCAGAGATAACATTGGCAAATATGTTCTCCCACGCAGTGGGCTTTCTTGTTGTTTTGTTGATGGTCTCTTTTGCTGTGCAGAAGCTTTTTATTTTGATGTAGTCCATTTGTTTATTTTCTCCTTAGTTTCCATTGTCCTATGAGCTGTATCGGTAAAGATTTTCCTATGACATATGTCTAGTATTTTGCCGCCTATGGCTAAAACCTTTTTAAAAAATCCTCACCTGAGGATATTTCTTCCATTGCTTTTCAGAGAGTAGAAGGCAAGAGAGTGAAAGGGAGGGAAGGAGAGAGAGAGAGAGAGACATCGATGTGAAAAAGACATATCAACTAATTGCCCCCCACATATATCCCGACTCGAGGGTGGGGAGCAAACTGCAACCCTGGTATATGCCCTTGACCAGGAAATGAACTCATGACCCCTCTGTGTGCAAGCTGACATTCTAACCAGTTAGCAACACTGGCCAGGATGGTTAAAACCTTGTACAATAAATATTAATTTACATTTCTTCTATGAATTGTTCATTCCCCTTGCTCATTTTTCTGTTGGGATTTTAATTATATTCTAATTAATTTCTACGAGGATTTAAATATCATTTGATTCTATTCAGCAAATATAATACAAGACACGTAATAGGTACTCTTATTAGTTAATTGTTCTGGGGACTTTTTAGGAACAAAAGCAAACTTTCTAGGACGCTGACTCTTTCTTTTCCCACCTAGGACACAGCGGGGCAGGAGCGGTACCGGACCATTACCACAGCCTATTACCGTGGGGCCATGGGCTTCATTCTGATGTATGATATCACCAATGAGGAGTCTTTCAATGCTGTGCAAGATTGGTATGAGATTCATTCATTCATTCACTCACTCATTCATTCATTCATTCATCAACCTGTTCAAGAAAACCTAAAGTGTGGTTTAGGCCTTGTGCTATGGGCTAGAGAAATCTGGGTGAATTAGATTGGCTCCTGTCCTCAAGGAATTCACAGATGAGATCAGTAAACAGGCAATGAAAATAACATTGGACAGACTGAAGAGAATCGCCGGGGCTGTGGGAACCCAGTGGAGGGCTCTGACCCAGCTTGGGGAGTCAGGGGAAGTGTCCTAGAGTTGCTGACATATGCTGCAAGTTGTAAGATGAGCAGAAGTTAGCCAGAAGGGTGAACGGATAAGAATGTTCTAGATTAAAAATACAGATATGCAAAGGCAGAAGGTAAGTGCGAGGACAGAAAGAGCAGAGATCATGAAGGATTTTGCATGCTGGGGTAACAAGTTTGGAACCAAAGGTTCAGATGAATGTTTTAGAAAGATCATTGTGGGCACAGTAGTGAGTGAATCCACATACTGCTTCCCTATCAAGTTAATCCTGAGCAGGGCTAGGGGTCCAAGAGCACATCCAATTCAATCCAAGTTGATAAAGACTCTACTCACGATGGAAATCAGCCCATCTCCCCAGTGGTACAACCTCTGAGCAACTTACATCGTTCTTCCTGGAGCATAACTCACACCGAGAAGGGTGCATGGGGGTAAAGACAGGTTGGAGGGAGGGGCCAGGACCTGATGCCCCGTCCATGGGAAGGATGAGGATGGGGGAAGGTGGGACATCTGTGCTGTGGCTCTTCAGAATCAGAGAAGCTGAGCAGGCTGGGCACAGGGCAGCAGTGCTGGCTCTTTGTTGGCCCAGAAGTGATGGCTGAGTGAATTCCATCCTTTGTGGGAAAGACTTCTCACCCTGAAAGAAAAGTTTGGTGGTGGGATCAGCTTTGGGAGCAGCAGGGTCAGTGATGGATCCAGTTTGTAGTTAGGATTGAATTAGAATTAGGGTCAGTGTCAGGGTAGGGTCATAATTTTAGATCTGCTTCAGGATTAACCATTTTCTGACTTACTCATTCATCAGACATTCACTGTCAACTTCTCTTGGTCTGTGCTCTTTGCAGGGGACTGGCACCCCAAAGATGAATAAGCCTGTCCCTGCCCTCAAGGAAGGACAGATACATTCAGGCAAATGTAACAGTAGCCACAGTGAATGTGAAGGGCAACGAAAGGGGAAGTAATCATTTCTACCTGGTTGGTTGGTTGGTTGGGGACAGAGTTAGGCCCATCCCCACAAAAAGATGTCTCCACAATATAAGGGTCCTATTTTATCCCCTCTTTCAAAATGTTGTTTCTAATTATAGAAGTAAAACATACTTTCAAAATTTGAAAAGTACATAAAACTATTTTTAAAAAGTTTCATAATCATTGTACATAAAAGAAAGCACTGCTGACATTTTGGTTTCTGCAAATAATCATGATGTAAGGTTTATGAATCACAGGGGAGGAGGGAAGGCTAGCTGGCCCTGGGGAAGGCTCCCAACAGGAAACCTTGGGCCTTTGAGACAAGTTAGTGTGGGGAAGGGACTCCCAGGACAGGCAAAGGCACAAGCCATGGAAAAGCATTTGGGGGGCGGAATGGGTGAGAAGGTTTGTAAAGTGGGAGGAAGAGTGATGAGGCTGGAGAGATGGGAGGTGAATGGTCTTTAACGCCTGACAGGGATCTAGACTTCATTGCATGGGTAGTGGGGGAGAGAAAACTTTTAAGAAAGGATATGGTCAGATAGATGGCTTCACACCACAGTCGTGGGCAAACTACAGCCCGCGGGCCGGATCCGGCCCGTTTGAAATGAATAAAACTAAAATAAAAAAGACCGTACCCTTTTATGTAATGATGTTTACTTTGAATTTATATTAGTTCACACAAACACTCCATCCATGCTTTCGTTCAGGCCCTCCGGTCCAGTTTAAGAACCCATTGTGGCCCTCGAGTCAAAAAGTTTGCCCACCCCTGGTTTAGAAAGAGCTCTCTGCCTGCTGAGAAGAGGGGTGGGCAAATGCATTAGAAGAGGGCTCCAAAGAGCTAGGTAAAGTTTGCAACCTGGGCTCAGGGATCAGCATCTGTGACAGCTAGTTGGGGCAGGTATGTCTCTGTCCTCAGTTGAATTAATTAATAGTAACTTGGGTGTTGCTATTCCCATGGAAGGGAATCGGTTTCTTCAAGCTTCACAGAGCCCTTTTCAGCCTGGGGTGTGTGTGTCATTAACATGGTCGGTCCTCTATCTGTCGCTCTTTAGGGCTACTCAGATCAAGACCTACTCCTGGGACAATGCACAGGTTATCCTGGTGGGAAACAAGTGTGACATGGAGGAAGAAAGGGTTGTTCCCGCTGAAAAGGGCCGGCTCCTCGCAGAGCAGCTTGGTACGTACACAACACATGTGTGTTCATGTTTGTGTGTGTGTGTGTGTGTGTGCATGGAAATGTGACATTGGGGAGGTTGTGAAATACATACATAATAGAGGCCTGATGCACGAAATTTGTGCAAGGGCCTTGGCCCCAGCCCCGGCCCGCCACCGCCACCACAGCCCCTGCCCGTGGCCACCACCACCGCCCGGGGCCTCTGTCACAGCCCCCGTCTGCTGCAGCTTTGTCTGGAAGGACATCCAGTAGGACGTCTGATCTAATTAGCATATTATGCTTTTATTATTATAGATGTGCTCTATGTATTGTTTTATATTTATGTGATGAACATATATAGCTTTATGTTAGGTAATTTATGATTATATGCATATATTTTGTTACATTGAATATATAAGTAAAACTTAAAATTATGAACACTTTTTCACCAGCTCCTTTCACAAAAGATTTAAGGTGTTTTATAAAATTCATCATAGTACATTAAAAAAAAATCTAAATAAGTGAGAACATTGGAGCAAAGAAAAAGCAAGGGTAGGAGGTAAATAAGAGGAAGCCTGCAGTGAGATAAGTATGTATATTGTAAATTCTTGGGGATAAGCAAGAGTTGGGCCAAAATATTGGCTTTGAGCTTCCTAGCAACCATTGCAAAGAAGGAAACATAATCAGTTACATGGTTCAGAGATGGTTCTTAAATTAAAAACAAACCTATTATTCCAGAGAAGCGCTGCTCTTCATTGGCAACTGTAGAGCAGACTCTCTATGCGGCTGTGATAATGTCCTCCATATCAAACAACTCCACAGTAACCATAGCATGGAACATCACAGGTTGTGTCTTACACTTTCTCCCAATGTAAACTGACCCTTCCTCACCAAAACATGTTTCACAACAAAAGTCATTGTTTGAAGGGAGGAAACAGTGTGGCTTTAAGTATGCAGCTCAGTAATGCCCTGGCTTTTTCCAAGGTTAAAGTATCTTGATTCTTGTGTTCCCTTGAGACCCAGGTGCCTTAGGTTTGTCTCAGTGGCCCTACAGGAGGACCCCTGCCAATACTTGCTTAAAATAGCAACTTTTTCTTTTCTTTTCTGTATTGGGCTTTAATGTAAGATCGCCTTAGAGCAGCGGTTCTCAACCTGTGGGTCGCGACCCCTTTGGGGGTCGAATGACCCTTTCACAGGGGTCGCCTAAGACCATCGGAAAACACATATATAATTACATTACGATTCATAACAGTAGCAAAATTACAGTTATGAAGTAGCAACGAAAATAATTTTATGGTTGGGGGTCACCACAACATGAGGAACTGTAAACCACTGGTCTAGAATGAAAG